TATTTTTTAAAGTAAAATTAACATTTGTATAACATCAGTCTACTCTCTCTATTCCTACTCCTCCTTCATTCCTTCTCTCCTCCTACCTCCACTCTTCCCGTTCGCTTTCCGTTTTCTATTCCCGGTCACCTCCCTTTACCTTAGTACCCCTTCAACCTTATCCATGTTCTATCCACCCATCCTTCATCCCTCTGCAATTTCCTTATCTTCATCCCTTATTCTTTTCTTCCTTACTTTGCTTTACTTTCTCACCACTACAGAGTAGATTGAAAACACCTGTTATTACACCGAACGCAAGCAGGAGTGGCTCTGCCAGCGCCGCACGATACGAGGCAACAGTATTCAGCATAAGATGACGATCCCGAAACAACCAGGAGAGAAAGGACAAGACAACCCGATCCAAAACCGAAGAGACAAAAAATAACGAAATTACCGCCAGAAGACTTCATAATGCCGCCGAGACAAAAATCGCATGTGGGACACGGAAAGAAAGACCAGACGCGAAGATTGGAGAAGATCGAACCAGCCATGTATCGGACAGGACTGATCTGCCGAAAGAGGTGGAGCCGTAGAAAAGTCCCCGGGTTTGGACACCTGCAAGCAGTGCCAGAAACCAAGGCTGGGCAACTGAACGAGTCGGCGTCTACCGTCCATTCCATGGACAGGGGAATGAACCGGGACAAGTCATCCGCCAGGACGCTGGACACCCCCTGGATGTGAACCGCCAGGAGAGCCAAACCCCGAAAACTCAGCAGACGAGTCACCCAAAGTGACCAGCTCTGAAGAGCCAAGGACTGCATCTAACCCCCTCGGTTTAGGCAATGAATTACGAGCACAGTCCGAATGGAGCTGGCTCGTCGATCCGCGAGCGACATGAACTCTCCAAAGTGACATCCATTCTGCTGTGACCTCCCGCACCATGTTTTGAGTCCGATGGAGGAACGGACTCCATCCTCCCCCCTGGCCAGCCTGGTGAGCACTGGTCACAAAACCCCAGCCAAGATACGACACATCCGTGAACACATCGAGTGAGGGCTCGGGGGGGTGCCATGACACTGAACCCTGAAAAACCCGTAGAGGAAGCCGGCGACGCAGCAGCAGCAGACACACAGCCCCAGAGACTAAATCCAACGATCACGAGAGCAGCAGAAAGGACGTCCCCAAAGGAACCAGAACAGTCGCTGAAGCTAGACCCGACCCGGCGGGTAAACCAGCACCCTCCTTCCTTCCTCCTGTGGAGCTGTGCAGACAGCAGCATGGCGGCGGTTGTGACATCATGCTTGTTTTCAGATTGTGGAGTTCTGCTTAATAGTTCAGTTTTTGGTAGCAATTTTAAACAGGTGTAGTCTGTTTTGGGATGCCTACCTTTCTGGGTGCCTAATCTGGTAGATGGTAAACACAGAATGCCTCCAACCATATGGGGGTTTCTATAGGCCACTGCTCCTCATGCCTCTCTAAGGGGGCCAGGTTCTGGTTTGTGGTCCCCTGTAGGCTAGAACTCCAATCAAATTGACTAATGCCACAGTCTAATACTGTATATGCATATCAGCCCGGAATAGCTCCGGGGAGCCAGAGGGGCTCTCCATAGAAAATATATACACTTTTATAAATTCATTCATAGTATTCAGTGATAACCAATAAAGTACTCCTTAGAAGCAGTTTAAGTTTAAGGTATTCAAGTTGTTGGCATAACTAAAACCTGAGATACTTCCAGGGCAATGCTCTGCTGCTAGAAGGAAATAAACTAAAGTTTTAGTTTAGTTTGAGAAAAGGGGCCCATAAAAAAAAGCTCAATAAAACTGTGCAACTAATGCTTCAAACAAAGTGCAATGTATGTCTGAGAACGTTGGAGATATTTTTGTTTTGATAATATAGAACCTTAAAGAACCCGGCCCCATCACAAACACCCTTAAATAACCTGGTTCCATTGCAAATATTAAATATAACTGTAAAAATTACATAATATTAAAGGTAAGTAACATTTCTGTAAGCTAAAAAATATAATTAGCTATAATATGCATTTACATCACATATAAAACACCACACTTATAAAAGCAATTTCCTGTATACATTTATCTTCATTGTGAAACTCACTAGAAAGAGCTTTGGGACAAGGCAAAAACATTAATAAAATAGATTTCATAAGTGTCATATTTTATAAATCGTCAAATAGTGGAATTAGAGCTATGAATATGTATATATAAAATTACTATAACAAATTCAAAGCAACTGCCCCAATTTGGAACTGGAGTTGAGTCCACAACCCTGTAGCATCTTACCGCTGCCTTATTTTTTGGAGCCTGGTATAATGTGAGCAGTTAAGGTGATGAGGTGGTGTGGCTAGATGTTAAAAATGTGATGGATTTGAAGCCCAGTTTGATGCAAGTGTTTGCACACATTTACATATATTCTGTATGAATGGTGTATTTATTATACACTTATGCAAACACGAATTAGGTGTAACCAAAATGGTACGAGACTAAATATACCATGGGGTACAAAGGAAAGTGTATTTTCTGAAAGGTTGACTGATTTATCAAAACTTGACATCTTAAAGGGTATTACTTTCTAGTACAATGTGCACTTCACAATGCAGCATTGATGAACCACAAATTTGTTAAGGTCAATCAATTGACCTTTCTTTCACATTGCTTCTCTGAAGCACTGTAAAATAATTATCTGCAAGCACCCTGGTTCACTATTTGAATTTGCAGAACAAATTCTTTGTGCATTAGGCCATCATTACAAACTGTGCTAGGGACAACAGGAATGGCTGCATGCTCTCTAGTACTACACAGCAATGAGAAATGGTGCTTCATCTTTTCATTGGCAGAATCCTGAGACCTGTAGCATGTTCAAATATTTTTTAACTTTTTGCAACCCTTAGCATATGTACATGAAAATCAATCTCAAGAGTTTAATCAGCACAGCCTAACATGTACATAAATGTACATATATGTACAGTGGAACCTCGGTTTACGAATTCCCCGGATTACAATTTTTTCTGTATACAAAGTCAATTTCCTAGTAAAATTTGACTCTGTGTACGACGTTCGCCTCAGAATACGAGTGTTTGTTGATACATGTATGGGTCGAATGCATGGGTTCTGCTGGGTGCAAGGCGAGGCATGCTCAGTTTACCAGGTATCCCACCTAGTAACAGCCGTGCTTGAATTCTTGTGAAGAACTTAATTTTTTTTCTGTTTTTTTGGTAACTGAATATAAAAGTTCTTATTATATATCACTCATTAATTAAGAAAATGTGTGCAGTATGGGAAGAACTGCAAAGCTTTACTGAAAAGACTCACCCAGATAAAGATGCAGCAGGCAGCTGCATTAACCTTTTAAATGACAATGTGATGTTTCACTACAGACAAGTGTTAAAACATTGGGAAAAACAAGTGTCTATAGACAGATTCTTAGTAAGACAAGCAAGCTGTGAGCCACAACCAGGTTCTAGTGGTATGCCTATAAAACGTGGGAGAGAGTGTACCCTAAAAATGTCATCACTGCCTGATGTTATAAAGGAAGGGGATGCCCCTTCCAAACATTAACACCTCTCCTCATCCTCCTCCCGCCCCCCTCCTCACCATCTTCCATATGCCAAGAAGAGTCCTCAATAAAGGTAAGGTATAGTAAAAACTATGAGTAGTATTTTGTATAAAATGAATTTAAATTATTACATTATTTCTTATGGGAAAATTCGTTTGTTTAAAAAAATTTGGTGTACGAACCATCTCTTGTATCGGATTAAATTCGTAAATCAAAGTGCCACTGTATACACACACACGCATTATTGAGTACCTGTACTTCTAAGATAAATTAGGCTATGGCACTATTATGCAACACCAGGATTTAACGAGTGCAGACTAATCATTTGCTCAATTATCAAGAACACCATCTTGATATCTTGGCGGCCTAGTCTAAAGCATCTTAAAGAACAATGCATCCCATCAATGAAATTTCAAAATTTCCTCATGGGATTAATGTTCGTGTTGCTCTACCTGTATACTTCTTGTGGATTCTACAATATAATCGATAAAATAAAACAATAATTGTTTAATCATACCATAATATACCTCAGAAATTCTAAATATTCTAAATTAAACTGAATGTATTATACCTCTGTGCTAAAAGCAAAATGGTAATAAATGAATTTATAGACAAGTAAAAATAGGTTGTAGACAATTCTAAACATTAAATAATGACGAATACTCCATTAAATGTTGTGTGTAAGTATCTAAATGATCTAACATCTGTCTATGACAACAAAATGATGGTGGGAATCATAACTAAGGGTTACTGCTTTCTTTTTACTTGCAATAATAATGTCATGAAATTTTCTTAGGCCTCTCAAGAACAATATTTAATGTAGTAACAAGTGGAAATATATGTACGGTATAGTTATAAGCAAATGTATAGATGTTCTAATTATATGTGGAAAAATCAAAGGAGGATATATGTGACTTCATGTTACTTATTTTTTTTAACATCTCAATATTCACATACGCAATTACACATCAATCCAGACCATCTTTGTAAACAACAAACCATTCTTTTTGTTTAATGGCAGGTAGAGGTTCTGTATTGCTTACAGAAATTGTGAAAAATGTATTATTTGTTGTGTTATTTTTATGAATATCCCTTCTATTAATATATAAAATAAATTTATTGATATTACAGCAAAGAACTGAATGCAAACTCTTTCAAATTATGCAAAAATAGCGAAATCTAAGACAATCCTAGTAATATTACTTTGTGTGTGTTAGTACTGTACTGTATGAAATTTATCTGAAAAAAAAAAAAAGAACATGAACCCCTGGGGATGACAACTATTGTACAGTACTTAAATCATTTAATATACTGTACTCTAAAATGATATGAATGTTAGAAATATTTGCTGCTATTTGGTGTGGTCCAATGGCCTCTACTCCATACACCAAACTAATCTCTCAACTATTTTTACAAATCTAAGAGCATTAAGCAGCTATACGACATACCTAGCTGTGTCCTGAGTACGTGGAGAACGTCTGCGTGGGATGGCTTCATCTGGGACATCTTGGTAGAAAACTTCAGACACATCGGCCGATCTAGTCTTGGTAGAGCGGACAATACGACTTGCTGATGACCCCCGAGGCTTGTATGCTGCATCACTCTCTGCACGAATACGTGGCTCACCCTCGTATGACCCTGAAATACATTAAGTACAAATATTTCTATGAATCAATACATGGCAAAAATAACATTACGGTTAAAATTTCAAACAAAGGCTTCCAATAACTTGATGAAGAGCTGCACTAGATAACATGTACTTTTATATCATATAAATAAAAAACCAGCATTGAATGTAATGAAACGCCATTTTCTGGGTGAGCCCCGGAGGCTCCCTGAAGCTATCTAAACTGACATGTGCAATATTTGTTTGGGGGTCATCAGTCATGAGAGTTCTTTATGCCTACCAGGAACCTTGAACCAGAACCTGTTTCTCTCTGAGAGATGCAGGGAGCAATGGCCTATGAACACTACATTTACAGTATGTCATACATGCCACCAACAGGGAGGGGGGGGCTCAGACCCCCAAGCTGGTGAAAAATTGCTACCTATGTCCGAACAGAGCAAAATTACACTCTCAAAAAAAAAAAAAAAACAATAAGCAACATGTCATCCAACTAGCACTCTCGCTCGTTAGTGCCCCCCCCCCTTCCATGGGGGGAAGAGTAGCCGGTGGCTCGCCCCTCAGTTCTAAAATGATGAAGCCGCTGACCGGAGGGAGGGAGGGTGTCAGGGAGACTTCGGGGCTCGCCCAGAAAATGGCGTTTCATTTCAACCAACTCTGGTCTGCTGTGTGAAGCTCCGTCGGCTCCCTGAAGCTAACTACCCACAGATTAGTAAAAGAGGGACTTACCCAGGAGGCAGCAGCACCGCAGATCTCACAACGAAAAAGAGACAACCAGCTGTGACAGATGTCCCAGCACAACACACGGCCAGAGCCTACCTGGCAGCCAGGACCCTGTTTGACCTCCAAAACCCCAGTGCCCGAATGTCACCCCAAGACATATTACTAAAGACCGCAGCCAAAGTCGCATACTTCCACACATCATGGGCATGAGGGTAGACCGCAGACTGACTAGACGTGATGACACTGCGGACAACTTGAGACACACGAGCCCTGGAACAGGGAACCAGGGAAACCAGATCCACCCAGAGAGCATCCAATGTCACCGAACCAATGGCCCGCATGTAGCGATGTAAAGCCGCTACTGGACATAATACATGATGCACCCCCGGCCGAACCAACCAAACATCCACAACAAACAGACCCCCTCTGGAAGCTAGACGTCTCATTCTTCGCCGGAAAAGAAGGAGAGAGCTGCAAACGAACAAAATGACCACCAGGACCAAAAGGACAAAAACCCCATCGCTGGAAAAGAGCATCAAGCTCCCCCTGCCCCAGAGGCCAAAGCCAATAAAAACAAGGCTTTCATAAAACAATCTCGAACTGAATGGGCCACTACAAACCGAGGGGAAGAAAGAAAAAGAGAGCTCCTGGTCCAAAGACCAAGAGAGCTCAGGCGGCGCATCAGCAGGACGGAGGTGAAAAAACACACGAGAGAGCTTGCAGAACAGAGCAAATATAACATGCACCCCAAACGCAAGCTGTAGCGGCTCCACCAACAGCACACAATAAAAAGCGACAGCATTCGGCACGTGATGCCGGGCTAGAAAGAGCTGAGAGAGAGAGAGAGAGAAAAAAAAGAACCTTAACCGACACAGACGCCACCCTACGAAAGGAAAGGAAATGGTGGTAAGACCAACAGGAGACTTCATACTGTCGCTGAGACGAAGACCGCAGGCAGGACACCATCCAGGAAGCCAACTGATCACCATATAAGTGGCGTTACACCCATGTCAGAAAAACCAGATGTGAAGAGTGGAAGAGTAAGTCGAACCAGGAGGTACCTCACCAGCCCGACCTGCTGAGAGGTGGAGCCGCATAAAAATTCCTGGGTTCAGACACTGAGCAAGCAGTGCCTGAAACTAAGGCTGGGTTGGCCACCATAGGGCCAGGAGAAGCACTCTTCCCCTGAAAAGATTCGAACCAAGCCAGAACCCTGAGTACCAACCGGACCAGTGGATAAAGGTATCAGAACCCAAACCTCGAATAGTCCTGCCAGAAAGTGTACACTGCGAGAGCCTCGCAGTCGGGAAACGGCACCATGTACAATGGGAGACGCCGAGACTACGGCAACACGAAGAGGTTCATTTCTGGGGGCCTGTATCTCCGATAAAGCCAAACAAAGAAGCAAGCGACGACTGTCCACTCCATGGAATAGAGAATGAGGTGAGTGAACCCCAGGGAAGCAGTCTGAATGGAGCTGGATCACAGAGCCCCGAGGAAGCTGAATCCCCCGCAGCACAAGCCACATGGCCGCAAGCTCCCGCACCGTGCTGTAAGCCCGATGGAAGAATGACACCAAACGACCCTGGCCGGCCTGATGAGCACTGGTTGCAAAACTCCAGCCAAGAGATGAGACCTCTGTGAACGCGTTGAATGAGGAAAGGGGAAGGCGCCATGGCACCGAAACCCGAAAAACCTGAAGAGGAACCCAGAGACTCGGCAACCGAAGCAAGGACCCCCAGGGCACGAACCCAGCAGCCGTAAGTGGCAAAAGGGGCTGCCCCGAAGATACCAGAACAGCCAAACTCTGCCCAGTGGGTAAACCAAAACGGCAAAGTTCAGTCTCCCGCACAACTGCTCAAGCAACCGTCGAATGACCCGGGTTGCCCCTCATAAACAGGTGAAGGTGGGACCGCAATTTGAACAATGTTGCAGGGGAGAGAGAGAGAGAGAGAGACGCCGTCTGTGAATCCCACATGAGGCCCAGCCAAGGCCGAACTTGGGACTGAACCAACTGGGACTTCCTCCAAATCACCAGGAACCCAAATCCAGCAAACTGGGAAAGAACCAGATCCCTGGCAAGCAGACACGCAGTCGAGCTGGGAGCCCACACCAACCAGTCATCACGGTATGCGAGAACCCGAAGACCTAGCAGACGCAGACAGGCCCTGGTTAGATGCGTGAAAATGCAAAGTGCCAGATTCAAGTTGAATGGAAGGCAACAAAAGTGCCCGATGAACAAGAACGTGCCAATAAGCGCCCCTGAGGTCCAGAAACTGGGCAACACTGTCCTTCAGAAATAACAGAGGACAGAACCCACCACACACACAATGAGAGTACAACGTTGCTACAACTTCCAAACAAGTTTTAACGACATTCTTATACGTCATAAAAATGTTATACAGTACCAAGATGTAACAACTTTATTACAAACTGTAACAAGTGAAAAATAGGGCCAGTTACATTTTGTGTTTGCAGGGAACAGAGACGAAGCCTGCAGAGCCAGGGCCCAAGCCGAATCCAAAGTGAAAAAGAGAAACCGCCTCCCGAAGGATCGGAGTAAACAGCTTCAGCAGAGCAGACGACGCCTCAGCAGCCGAAACCAGAAACCCCAGCCAAATGCCTCTCACTCAATGCCCCCACATCCTCCATAGCCAATCCGTAGACAGTTCCAGAAGACTGAAGAAGCGCAAGACCGAGGCCAAATGACCACGAGTCCGCAGGTCATCAGCCGCCAAAGCAGCCAAAAGTGGGAACCTGAGCATGTAACTGCACCAGACCTACATCATGAGAGAGCACAGGGGGTGGAGAGGCACTCATTGAGGAACTCAAGGGAGCCCCCCACGAACACCTGCAACACCGAAGTAATCTTTCGCCACTGAAGTATGCAGATATGACAAAACCCGCGCCAAGCTCCAAGAGAAAAGAAAGGGCAGTCTGCTAGCCAGGAAGACTCCAGAACCTTATAACACACCCAATACAGGAAAGGAGAACCGAACTCAAAGGAAGCCGGATCTATTGTAGAAGCATAACCCGGGTCTTGTGTGAGGTACACACCAAGGGCCTCCCGAACCTCCGCAGAGGAAATACGAGAGGAAGGAAACATCTGGAAGGGCGAATCAGAGGAACCAAAAGGCACCCGGAAACAAACCCTAAGGGGAGCTGCACCCAACTCAAATTCATACAGGGAAGGAGGATATGAAAACCCCCACCCCTGCCCAGAAGGCACAAGAGCCCAAGCAGGATCAAAAGGAGTTCAAGCACTCAAGGCAGACTCCCCCCAAGTTAGGGGTTAGGAACCCCTAACACAGGCATTGGGGCAGAGCACTCATCTCCATCCACCACCCCAGAAGGAAAGGTGGGAGTCCTGGGGAAAAGCTTCAAAGAAGTGACTGCTGGGGTGACCCAGAAACTTTGGCGGGGAAATCCGGCTCAACCACCTCCACACCCGAATCAGAAGGGGCAATCCCCGAAACCAACTGAACCTCATCTCAAGCTAAACTCCGCCCTGAATTCAAAATCCTCAGACGTTTGGGAGCCGGAAGCATGGGGGCGCGAATGGAACCAAGGCCGAAACAACCAACGTTTCCCAAATCCTTGTCCCTAAAATCCAAGCAGGGCCGTTCCAGGGCTTCCAACTGGGCGACTAACCTGGCTCATTGCAACAAAGAGAATCTAGCATGCAATGCAGCTGCCACCTGACCCCTAAGATCTTTTAATAAAGAATGGGTAAATTGAAGCACAAGCGGAGAACAAGTCTCACAAGACTTGTGGGTCATAGGTGTCACCAACCCAACATGCAGCATGATGGAGGCAGTACAGATGATCATCAGCCTGAGGCAGGGGCAACAAACAGCCCTCGACATTGCACAAGGTAAAAGAGGCCTCAGAAAACATGTCCATGTTATCCGAGCCCAATGGGGTTTTCCAGGGCCCATAGGGTAAGTAAGCCTTATAGGAAGCCCAGGCACTGGGCTAGCTTAGCTGGTTGAGCCCCTGTCCAATAGCAAGCAAATTGACCACCAGTAGCAGTCGTGAAACCTCGGGAGCAACAGAGGACAACTAGCACAACTTAATCATACCTAATAAAGAAGCTAGGCAGACCTCCTCCATAAACAAAAACAAAAATGCTAGAAAGAAAACAAGAACCCCCGAAGTCACACAAACAAACAAACTGGCAGCCAGAGAGAATCGTTGGCTGCCATGTGTGCATGCTGCGCTGGCCACAGTGCGCCCTGCCCAGCAAAAACACTCCCAACCCAGGGCAAGACGGACAGCCCAAAACCCCCGA